ACAGAGTGAGACTCCGTGTCAAAAAAAAAAAGTTTTTAAACATGTGTTCACTGCCTCATTATCATTGATTCCACTGTGGTTTTGACCGACCTGAACCCCACTTTTTTTTTTCCAGTTTATGACCACAAAGAAGGATTGCACAGGTGTGCCTGAGGACCAGTAAGTGGCAGAATCTGCATTTTCTGGTGCCGTCCAGACAGCAGCTGTTCTAGAAAGATAGTCAATCATATCCTGTCCTTCCTAACTGACAGTGGAGAATCCTGTGGGTCGGAATTGAGCATCTTTTTTCAGATAGTCTCTGTCACCCAAGCTGGAGTACAATGGCTCAATCTTGGCTCACTGCAGCCTCAACCCCCACCCCCACTCCGTGTCCGAGGGATTCTCCTGCCTCAGCCTCTGGAGCAGCTGGGACTACAGGTGCTGTATTACCCAGGCTGGTCTCGAACTCCTCAGCTCAAGCAACCCTCCCACCTTAGCCTCCGAATGTGCTGGGATTGTAGGAGTGAGCCACCGCGCCTGGCCGGAATGGAACATCTTTGTATCTGTGTTCTTAGTTTAGCACAAAACTGAATAATATTTGCAGGCAGCAGAATTGGATCAGGAATTTCTCAAACTGCCAAAGATGAAATTAGAATGAGTGATTTTTGGCTGGCGGCTTGAAGTACATATATATCAGTTTGTGTATGATACGTGTGAATATATAGTGGTTTTTTCCCTCTTCAACTGTCTTTAAATATGTGTGTGTGCGTGAGTATGTGTACAAACACACATTCAGCTTTAATATCAAAAAGGTTGTTTTAGTATGTCTGTTAGGAGAGTGAATATGCTCAAAAGGGGAAAACTACATGGCTGGGGTGAGAGGAGTGTGCTTCATTTAAGGACATTATAAAAGGCATAGCCCTTCTGCTTCTGCCTCTCCGGAATGCTGTAATACAATATAGAAATAATCATATCATCTCCTTTACTTCTCAGAGCTGGTGATTGTGTGAGGCTGGCCCTGTGCCAGGTTGGCAGGGTTGGGAGCAACCCGGGGAGGCAGACCTGGTAAGGTGCATTGCCGTTCAGGGCTTAGCGTGGCCCCTGCACCCCAGCCCCCTGCCCTCCTCCATCAAGCTCTGCCCGCTTCCATTTCTCCACTGTGATCTCACATCTCTCAGCCCCACCAGCTTTCTCATTCCATCACCTCATCTGCCTTGTCTCTTTCCCCTCTGAATCTGGACCCTTGTTAAGCCTTTTTTTTTTGAGCCAGAGTCTCACTCTGTCACCCAGGCTAGAGGGCAGTGGTACAATCTCAGCTCACTGCAACCTCTGCCTCTGAGATTTAAGTGATCCTCCCACCTCAGCCTCCTGAGTAAGACCAGGACTACAGTCACGCATCACCACACCCAGCTAACTTTTGTATTTTTAGTAGAGATGGAGCTTTGCCATGCTGGCCAGGCTGGTCATGAACTCCTGACCTCAGGTGATCCACTTGCCTCGGCCTTCCAAAGTGCTAGGATTACAGGCGTAAACCACCAAGCCTGTCCATATCTGTCCTTTCATTCATTCCCTTGGCACCCATTCCATGTCTTTCCGAGTCCCCGCTATGTGCCAGGCCCCATGGTAGTTTTCCCTGGGCCCTGCTAGGATCACACAGTAATCTTTCTTCCATCAGTCTTTACCCCATCCACTCTGTTTTCCCTTGTTTCACTTTGTGTTCTGTTTTGCCATCTATATTTCTGAAAAGCGCAATGGGTGAAATGCGGTGGTGTGTTAGCTTCCTGTTGCTGCTGTCGCAACCCACCATATGCCAAGTGGCTTCAAACAACAGAAATTTATTGTCTGACAGTGCTGGAGTTCAGGAGTCCAAAATGGGATTTCCCAGGCTGGAATCAATGTGTCAGCCAGAGTTGTGTTCCTGTTAGAAGCTCTGGCGGAGAATCAGTTTCCTGGCAGTTTCCAGCTTCTCGGGCTGCCTGCATTCCTATAGCATTCTAACCTCTGTGTCGGTCCTCTGAGCCTCCTGCCTCTCTCTTCCAAGGACCACTGGGATTACATCAGGCCCACCTGGATAATCCCAGATCATCTCCTGACTCATGATCCCTAACATAATCCCATCTGCAGAAGCCCCTTTTGCCATTGCAATCTAACGTATTCGCAGGTGCCAGCTATTAGGATGTGGTTGCCTCTGGAGGACTTTACGGTGCTGACCACAGATAGCCTCATTTATACGAAAGAGATTGGTGGCCGGGCATGGTGGCTCACGCCTGTAATCCAAAGCACTTTGGGAGGCCAAGGCGGCCATGTCGTGTGAGCCTGGGAGTTTGAGACCAGCCTGGGCAACATGGTGAAACCCAGTTAGTACAAAAAATACACAAACTAGCTGGGTGTGGTAGCGCATGCCTCTAGTCCCAGCTACCTTGGGGGTTGAGGTGAAGGATCCCTTGAACCTGGGAGGTGGAGGTTACAGTGAGCCGAAATCATATCACTGCATTCCAGTCTGGATGACAGAGACCCTGTCTCAGGAAAAAAGAAAGAAAGAAAGAGAGAGAGAGAAAGGGGGTGGGGGGGAGAGAAAAAAAAGAGATTAGTAAAGAATCTGATTTTTTTTTGATCCTTGAACTTGGTATAAAAATACAGAAAATCATCTCGTGGAAGAAGAAACAGGATTGATTTCTCTGAAGAAATAATAGTAGCATGTTTAGAAATGCATCCTTTAGAGCAGTATATAGTTAAAAGGGAAATTATAAGCTCCTTGACCAAATGTTTCTATAGGATCACAATACAAAATAATGTGGGCTGATGATATTTGTCAAAAAACTTGTGATACAGTGGCCAGGCACGGCAGCTCACACTTGTAATCCCAGCACTTTGGGAGGTCAAGACAGGTAGATCGCTTGAGTCCAGGAGTTCAAGACCAGCCTGGGCAACACAGCAAAACACTTGTCTCCACAAAAAAAAGAAGAAGATTAGCAAGGCATGATGGTGTGTGCCTATAGTTCCAGCTACTCAGGAGGCTGAGGCAGGAGGATCACTTGGATCCAGGAGGTTGAGGCCGCAGTGAGCTCTGATCACACCGCTGCATTCCAACCTGGGTGACAGGGCAAGATCCTGCCTCAAAGAAACAGAAGCTTGTGGTACAGGCCTGTCCTGTCCGTCCCTGTGCGATAATGGAAGTTCTGTATCTGCATGGTTTGAAGCAGTAGCCATCAGCTCCAAGTGGCTTCCAAATCCTTGAAATGTGGCTAGGGTAACTGAGAAACTGAATTTAATTTTAATTAAGCTATATTTAAATGTAAACCGCATATGGCTATATGTGTTGATAGAAAATAAGACTTCCTTACCTGGGGTCTCGAGATAGGTCTTACTTAGGAAGACTCTGATAAAATAATTCGCAGTTTTATTTCTGAGGGCAAGGTCAGTAGCTTTCCTCAGATTCTCAGAAGGCCTCATGAACCAAAATGTGGGCTGGGCACAATGGCTCACAACTGTAGTCCCAGCACTTTGGGAGGCTGAGGCGGTGGATCACCTGAGGTCAGGAGTTCGAGACCAGCCTTGCCAACATGGTAAAACCCTGTCTCTACTAAAAATACAAAAATTAGCTGGGTGTGGTGGTAGGGACCTGTAGTCCCAGCTACTCGGGAGGCTGAGGCAGGAGAATCACTTGAATCCAGGAAGCGGAGGTTGCAGTGAGCCAAGATCACACCACTGCACTCCAGCCTGGGCAACAGAGCGAGACTCCATCTAAAAACAAAAAAAGTTTCAATGCCTAAACTTTCAGTAAATACAGTATTATCTTAGATAAGTCTTTACAAAGTATTTGAAGCACTTTCTCAGTTACTTCATTTTAAATAAAATGCTCTGAATGAGATCATATACACGCACCTATTGGATGTTCTGGTGTTTCAAAATGAGCACTGGTGGCTTGGGATAAAATTTATTGTGACTCTGTCAGACGTGGATTCAAAACAGGCTGTATCTTCCACTAACAGTGCATTGAAATGGCAGCTACAGCAGGGCGCAGTGGCTTATGCCTGTAATCCCAGCACTTTGGGAGGCCAAGGCAGGCAGATCACCTGCGATCAGGAGTTTGATGCCAGCCTGGTCAACATGGCGAAACCTCATCTCTACAAAAATACAAAAATTAGCAGGGTGTGGTGGCAGGCGCCTGTAATTCCAGCTACTTGGGAGGCTGAGGTGAGAGAATCACTCGAACCCAGGAGGCAGAGGTTGCAGTGAGCTGAGATCACACCACTGCACTCCAACCTGGGTGACAGAGTGAGACTCCACCTCAGAAAAAAAGCAGCTATAATGCAGTGCAGTGGCCCAGGTCAATTTCAGATGGGAACAGCAGTCAAACCCCCATTCTAGTCTATTTTATTCTAAGCAAATTATCTCATTTAGACTAACAGCAAAAGCTTTAGTTTGTAGCACGTCGAAAATGAGGTGTATGTGACCAGGACTTAGTAGAAATAAAATATCATTGTAGGCCGGGTGGGGTGGCTCACGCCTGTAATCCTAGCACTTTGGGATGCTAAGGTGGACGGATCTCTTAAGCCCAGGAGTTTGACCCCAGCCTGGGCAACATGATGAAACCCATTTCTACAAAAAAAAAAAAATACAAAAATTAGCCAAGCGTGGTGTCATACGCCTGTAGTCTCAGCTACTTAGGAGCCTGAGATGGAAGTTTGACTCCAGTCCGGGAGGCGGAGGTTGCAGTGAGCCAGGATTGTACCACTGCCCTTCAGCCTGGTCGACAGAATGAGACTGTCTCAAACAACGACCACAGTAAAAACGACCACCTCATTGTATTCTTAAAAAAGTTTAAATCCTGGAGTGACAGTTGGCCTTAATTGTGTTTTAGGAGTGCAGGAACGGGTGAGGTCCCAGGCTTGCTTTAGAGAATGATAGATAGATAATCAGCATTGACTGCCACGCTGTTTTTTAGGAGGCCTTAACCGACGTTTCCCTTTTTTCTCCTTCTCAAATGGCTGCTTCCTGACCTCTGTCTCCTGCTCCAGGATTTGCGCAAGCAGGTAGCACCGCTGCTGAAGAGCTTCCAAGGAGAGGTAAGCTTTTCTGTTCATTTTCCATCCTGAGCCACCCTGTGCGGCTAAACAGTGTGTCTGTACTCACGTTGAAGAAGTACTCCGGGCAAAAGGGGCTGCCCAGGTAGATGGTGCCTTCCCAGCTGCTCCAACCCAGTGTCGTGCAGATTTTGCGCTCTGTGATGTGGTTTTCCATTGGGTCCTTGGTGAAAGCCCTCCTGGAAAAGGAACCTATTCTCAGAATATACAGAGATGTGGTGGATTCCAAGCAGAAGCGCCTCATGTGGTTGCAACGGGCAGGTTGTTTGTGACATGGCCTTTAGGAGCCCATGGGTCCCCTCTGGGGAGCCGCCTCATTCCTAGAGCTAAGCTGGTCTGGGGCTGCCACCGCCATGAGTGTGTACCACGAGTGCAGTGCTTGGGTGAGAGGCTGGCAGGGGCAAAGGGATGCCGCTTGATCACAGGCTTGAAACACAGAGCATCAGGCAGAAGCCACGAGGAGCAGGTCTGGGCTGGTAGAAGGAAGTGGTTTCTAACGGATCCTTCCAGAGAAGGACTGAGCCATCTGGCAGACGGCATGTGGGTAGCAAGTCACCTGGGACGTCCACCCTGGCTACTTATTAGTGGGAACAGCAGCCATGGAGGGGACCGGGGCTCCGAGCAGGTGACATGCCTTGCCAGCCCTTTGTGTAAAGATGTTTACACAGTGATGTTTAGAAAACCAGAAATTATATTACTGTTTTGGATTTATTGAATCTCACCTCTTTAGCTTCTCCCGTTGGGAAAACAGAATGGGGAATCATAGCAGGCTATGAGAAAAGGAAACGAGACATTTCCACAGCCCCTGAAAGAACCCGCATTGGTACAGTCTTAGGAATTTGGTTTTTTTTTTCTTTTTTTTTTGAGATAGAGTCTTGCCCTGTCACCCAGGCTGGAGTGCAGTGGCGTGATATCAGCTGACTACAGCCTCCACCTCCTAGGTTCAAGCGAGTCCTATCAGCCTCCCGAGTAGGTGGGGTTACAGGCACGCACCATCACGTCCAGCCAATTTCTATATTTTTAGTAGAGATGGGGTTTCACCATATTGGCCAGGCTGGTCTGGAACTCCTGACCTCAGGTGATCCACCCAACTCCGCCTCCCAAAGTGCTGGGATTTCAGGCGGGAGCCAACATGCCCCGCGGGGATTTTATTTTGTTGCAACTATTAAGTCACAGGGAACACGTCGGGCAAGGGCAGGAGAGACACAGCCATGAGATGTAGTAGGTTCCGCTTGGGACACAGGTGACATGAGCCTTATATGGAAGGCTGAGTTCCTGGGTCTAGAGCTCCACAGCAAGTGGTCGGGCTTCCATTTGGGAAATTTTTCAGCTGGAAGCGTGAGCAGGGAGTGAGTGATCAGAGGAGGCTGGAGGCTGGGGAGACTGTAGACAGAGACAGCTGATTTTGGAACATCAAAAGGGACCAGCGTAGAAAGAAGACACAGCAGTTGGTGACGGCTGGAAATTTTAGAGGGTAGAACAGCGCTCATCTCTTCTTGTGATGTTCTTCCTGCCTCGTTTAGCCCCTCATGCACGTAGCTCGGTCCAGCCAGCAGGACACCCACATCCCAGGGCTTGGGTAGACTTGAACAGCCTTTTTCTCAGAACTGCATCCCCAAGCCCGCACTTGATGAGTGAGACTGTTACCTGACACCTAACCACATTTGATCTCACCTGCGCCATCACCTGTTCAGCAGCTTTTGAGAGACCCACTGCTCTCCTACTTCTCTAGCTCAAAGAGTTCAGTGTGCTTTTTGGGTGTTTGCTCATTTTTCTTTCTTTCTTTTTTTTTTTTTTTGAGGCGGAGTTTCGCTCTTGTTACCCAGGCTGGAGTGCAATGGCGCGATCTCGGCTCACCGCAACCTCCGCCTCCTGGGTTCAGGCAATTCTCCTGCCTCAGCCTCCTGAGTAGCTGGGATTACAGGCACATGCCACCGTGCCCAGCTAATTTTTGTATTTTTAGTAGAGACGGGGTTTCACCATGTTGACCAGGATGGTCTCGATCTCTTGACCTCATGATCCACCTGCCTCGGTCTCCCAAAGTACTGGAATTACAGGCGTGAGCTTGTTTTTCTTTCTTATTGAATAATTTCAATGCTGTATAAAAATGGAAACATTAGTACAGCAAACACCTGTACGCTCTTTACCCAGATCCACAGTCGTTAACATTTCACCCCACGTACCTCCCCACTTCCCTCCCTGCCCACCACTTTTGCTGAGCATTTGGAAGTAAGTTGCAGATGGCAGGCACCGTGTCCCTCAAACACACATTTGAGGCTCCCAAAGCTAAGGAAGCATGACCATTCTCCGACATTACTGTGATAACCACAGATACGACAATTGGGAAAATTCACAGTCATTCCAGGTCATCTCACATTTGATCCAAAATCAAATTTTTCCAGTTATCCCCAAGATGTCTTTGATAACGGCTCTCCCCACAACTGGGGTCCAGTCGGGTTCACACATTACATTTGGAAATCTGTCTATCTATAGATCTATCAGTTCATCATCTGTTTTATATTTTTCCATTAAAAAAAATTTTATTTTGAGACAGTCTTGCTCCGTAACTCAGGCTGCAGTGCAACGGTGCTATCATGGCTCACTGTGGCCTCCACCTCCTGGGCTTAGCATCTTTTTGCCTTAGCAATCCCCCCACCTCGAATAGCTAGGACTACAGGTGTACACAACCACGTCAGGTTATTTTATTACGGATTTATTGATCATGATACCTAATTTTGGGTGTTTCACAAGCCCAACAAATTGATGGGTGGTGTGGGGGAGGTGTACCCTCAATATTCAGTCAAATTTAAAGCTTATTCTAGTCCAGCAATAATTTAGAGAATCCTTTCAGTAAAGTAATACACACACCCTCTAGAAAAAAGCTGTCCTCCCACCTGTCTGGCCAGTCCTTCCTTCTGTCCCTAAGGAGGGTCATGGTGTGGAAGGTTGAGGGGTTGAGGGGCTGGCTCAGAGAACTTCTTGGTATTAGGGGAGCAAGAGTCCTCAGGGAGGAAAATCCTCTTAAAAAAATAACTTGAGTGCTCGTCCAGGCACCATGGCTCATGCCTGTAATCCCAGCACTTTGGGAGACAAGTCAGGCAGATCATGGGATCAGGACATTGAGACTATCCTAACTAACACGGTGAAACCCCATCTCTGCTAAAAATACAGAAAATTAGCCGGGCATGGTGTCACGTACCTGTAATCCCAGCTACTCAGGAGGCTGAGGCAGGAGAATCGCTTGAACCCGGGAGGCGGAGGTTGCAGTGAGCCGAAATCGCGCCACTGCAGCCCAGCCTAGGGCACCAGAGTAAGACCCCCTCTCAACAAAAAAAAAAAAAAAAAGCAAGAAAAAGAAAAAAGAAAGAAAGAAAACTTGGATGCTCCTATTAGAGAAGAAATGAAAGACTAACAATGTATGCACTAAACATTAGCTTTATAAAAGTGCAGTAGGTGGCCAGGTGCTATGGTGCACGCCTGTAATCCCAGGCGTGGGAGGCTGAGGCGGGCAGATCATAAAGTCAGGAGTTCAAGACCACCGTGACCAATATGGTGAAAACCCATCTCTACTAAAGATACAAAAAGTTAGCTGGGCGTGGTTATATATAATATTATATATATATAATAGGCACATGCCTATAATCCCAGCTACTCAGGAGGCTGAGGCAGGAGAATCACTTGAACTAGGGGGGCAGAGGTTGCAGTGAGCCGAGATCACGCCACTGCACTCCAGCCTGGGCAACAAGAGTGAAACTCCATCTCAAAAAGAAAAAGTACAGTAGGCTGATGTGCTGGCTCACGCCTATAGTCCCACCACTGTGGGAGGCCAAGGCAGGAGAGTCATCTGAGGCCAGGAGTTCAAGATCAGCCTGGCCAATGTAGCAAGATTCCATCTCTATTAAATAAATAAATGTACAACAGAATAAGTTCAATTCGAATGAAGGAAATGATAGATATAATAATAGCAAATATATTAAGAACAGATATGAATGAAAAAGAAAACAAACAGCCAAGAGAGAAACATTCCAAAAGTTGTTTATTTGAAAATACCACTGCAGGGCTGGGCACAGTGGCTCACGCCTATAATCCCAGCACTTTGGTCAGACAAGGCAGGCAGATCATGAGGTCAAGAGATCAAGACCATTCTGGCAACGTGGTGAAACCCTATTTCTACTAAAAACACAAAAATTAGCTGGGCATGGTGGTGCACAACTGTAATCCCAGCTACTCGTGCTGAGGCGGGAGAATCGCTTGAACCTAGGAGGTGGAGGTTTCAGTGAGCCAAGATCGTGCCATTGCGCTCCAGCCTGGCGATAGAGCGAGACTGTGTCTCAGAAAAAAAAGAAAGAAAATACCACTGCAATTGACAAACCACTGTACTAAATAAGACAAGGAATGTTAGGAATAAAATTGGGGATGAAACTGCAGCTGCTGCTGGAGATTAAAAAGATAATAAGGGAATGTTAATAAGCAACTTTGTGCCAATAAATCCTGAAATGGAAAAAGTTTTAGAATTCTGTAGCTACCAAAGCTGATTAAAGAAGAAATAGAAAACGTGAATAGCCTTGCAACTATTACTGACATATTTCTGTGAGGTCTAGACAGTTCTCAGAGAGTTTTATCAATCATTCATGAAATAGAGCACTCTCATACTTAGCAAACTCCTTCAGAAAATAGAAAAAGAGAAAGCATTTCCTAACTCCTTTTATGAGATGAATATAACCTCAATAACAAAATGAGACAAGAACAGTACAAGAAAGGAAAATTAAAAGTCGATCTTATTGGCGAGGTGCAGTGGCTCACACCTCTAATCTCAGCACTTTGGGAGGCTGAGGTGGGCAGATCACTTGAGGTCAGGAGTTTGAGACCATCCTGGCCAACATGGTGAAACTCCCATCTCTACTGAAAATACAAAAATTAGCCAGGTGTGGTAGCAGGTGCCTGTAATCCCAGCTACTCGGGAGGCTAAGGCAGGATAATCA